ACCGATCCAACTTTCCTCAGTCCATTACATGCATTCCTTCTTCCTCTTGAAGGTCCCAGGAGTGTTTCCCTGATCTTAAGAAGTTCCAACACGCGCGAAAGCTCCCTCACACGATCACTCCATTTGGTAATATATCTTTGATCTCAAACTCACTCAATACACAATTGAAATACATACTGCTCATTTGTCCATGCTACTAATGGTGTTTGTGATTGTTTGGATGTGTTACATGTAAGCTAAGGTTCCAGAACGAGATCGTGCCATTGTTAGGGCACGATCTGAATTTCCTTTCATATCTTAGAATCTAAATTGTTTCAGGCCGAACAGACCCCGAATTTGGATTCAAAAGTTGGTTTTACATGGGATAGGGACACTTGTTTTGATTTAATTTCACGTTTATGTAAGTTTGCAGGTTGTGATACATCAGAAAAGACGACTGGAGTTTGACTCCGGCGTCTCTCCGTCCGCTGACTCAGGCGAGGGAGCGCGCAAATTTTATGTTTAAATTAATACTGTGTTTTTTCTAATATAATATTGTTGTTTCATTTGTATCAACGAATGGAAAGTTGGCACAATTGGTGAAGTATGTATGTTGCAGTGAGAAGGACCTGGGTCGGATACCCAGGTCGTGTAGTTTGTTTTTTTCTAACTATCATCTTGTAGATCTCGTGTGTTTCACATCCAGACGCTCACCATGCACCACTTGGTCAACACCAGTAGATCCCATCTGGTCAGATCCAGCGCTCCCGGACGCGCAGCGCACCATGCACCCTCAACGGATTCCCCCACTGAATCCAATGGCAGATCTGGGCTTCTCTCACTTGGCCCAACAAATCTCAATTCATACCCCCCCTGTTTGCTAATTAATACCTGGCCCATTTACTTGTTTTTATTTTTTCTTTTAGTTCATTACTTTCAAAAACTTTTTTATTAAATCATAAAAAATCAGAAAAAATATAAATAACTTAAAATTAGGTTTTGTTTTATGTTTAATAATTTAATTTAGTTAATTATCTTAACTTATTTCCTTAATTTTAAAATCAATAGACTTAGGATTAATTTCATTTCTTTTCACAAACAAAAAACGACTCAAAAACAGATTTATTTTCACTAAGGATTTAGACGTTATTTTCAATTCGCGCGCCTTTATTATTTTCGTTATCATTTTCATATTAATGTATCTGCTTATGGGATATAATAGATTATAATTAGGACTTTTACTGCTTTATTTCCCCCAAGTTTTGGACATGTAATTAATCCCCCTCCCCAAAGCCTTGTAATAGTTTAGGATTTATCTTTCCGCACTTTTAATTACTGCAAACTATTAACTGTTAGATGCATGACTAATATGATTGTATGGCAAGAATAACAAACAAAATGCTAGTAATGCAAATACAAAAATAACTGAATACAACACAATTGCACATATACACCTCTAAGGTATCCCCCTTTGGTTGCCTTTGGAAAAAATAATCACATCTCGTAAAACGTGAGAGGTTTTAGTGGCTACCCTCCGGTTTAAAGATCATAAGTCCCTCGATAACCCTCTCGATGTTGCCTCGGTATGATCTTAAAAAACCCTAGGGTAGTTACTAAAGTTTCTTGCCCAATTGCCTTCGTGACTGTATAAACGTCCATTCGAATGTCCCTCAGACATCCAACAACTAGGGCTACCTACTCACTAATAGTAGGATAGCACTGTCTAAAGGAAAAGAGGAAAAAACAATCCTTTCTAGTAAAAGTAGATAGTTCCTAGATGCTATACTCAAACAATTTTTATACTTACACAAAAAAAATTCAAAAACATTTTCAAACACTTTGTATACGTTCTCTACCATTCCGAGAAGCATTACAAAGTTCGCCGCACTAAGGCGCTTTCAAAAAAACTTTTCAAAACACATAAAGCACAAGCTATTTCAAAATGAGCTAAGCATCTAAGAGCCCGTAGATAACTACAGATGGAAAGGTGCTAACACCTTCTCTTTCCATAATCTACCCCCCTTACTCAGAAAACTCTCGAAAGGTCTTTTTCTGTTCTTTTCACCCTTTCCTTTGTTGGATAAAAGAAAAGTCGGTGGCAACTATTGCTTACCACAACATTTGCGAACACAAATGTAAAACCAGTATAACAGTCGGTTCTCTTACCGTATAACAATGTAGAATAACAAGATCATTACAAGTAGCAGTAGTAACACGATCATCATCATGATCTTCATGATATCTTTGTTTAGAATTGCCTTTATTTCATTTGTTATCCCTTTTCCACTGATAACAATACTTCTGTACGTGTCCCATTTTGTGACAATAATGACACTCCAGATTCTTGTATCGTTGTTTTGAAGTTGTATGTTGAGAACACGGGTCTAACATTAGTTGGTTTTGTTGACCCTTCATATTAGACAGTGTAACATCGACATTTATCCTGAATAAATGGAGAGGAGTCTCCTTGTTGTAGTAAATTTTAGTTAAGTTAGAGTTCATTCTGACTAATATAGGTAAAAATAATTCATTGTTTTTCTGATGTGAACTACAAATGAAGCAAATATATGATTTTATACAAGTTCAATGTTTCTCTGATGTGAACTGCAAATGAACCACACACACCATTTTATGCATGTTCATGTGAATTCTTATCCATAGAAATGATCAATGCAATCTAGACAACACATTATAAATCAATGACTTGCCACATTTTAGATTATAGAATTTGCGTATGATCCAACCATAATAGAAACATATGTCATCCATATAGCGTGATTCTCAGCGAGTGACGCAACACAGTTGTCGAACATCACATCTTGTGCTAGTAACCGTTCCATTACTTTAGCTTTGATAATTAGTGTGTGGTCAAGGAGACGTCTTTAGATGAGAAAATTCATAAAAATTAACAAGTCGTCAAGTGTCAATGTCATTTCTCTAACTTGAAGATATTTGTCTCCTTGTGCCACATCTTAAAAAGACGGTTAATAGGCTATAATCAACTGTGTTAAAACTTATGGGAGAAAATGTCAATTAGTCCATTATAAGGTATGACCTTAATGAACCATCCTTTGTCTCGAGTATGCCAAGTGATGATATTATTTCCGTTATTTATACATTTGAGCAACGCGTCAAAAATTGAAAAAAAAATACAACAAGTAAGTCTTATCCCTCTCAAATATCTTTATTCAACTCCTTACCATTTCACTAATTCTTAAATTTAATAAACTTAGTCTAATAAAATTATCCTTTAATAATAAATATATATATTTCTTAAACTTATGTGAATATACAAAAATAGTAAGAAGCTTCACTCTTAAGTATGGAAACATGTTTGTTAAAAAATACTAGTTTAACATGATACGAATTTATAACTTAGCTTACACTAAATGTGGATTAGACAACCATACTCTTTTAAATAGATAATAGTGTGACTTTTAAGCTCACTTAACTAAAAAAATTATGCTTTACATCTTTCAAAAAGTCTCTTAAATAAGTAATCTTATATATAAATGGTATATTAAAATAAATATAAATAATATGATATTTATTGAATTTCCTAAAATAATAATAATAATAATACTATTCTTGTCTTCTTAGATTAAATTTTAAGAAAGCGTTAAATTAATAATTTCAGTTACTTACATTCTGATAAATAGACTTTATAGCCGTTAGGAATATTCACTTATATTTTTCATGCATAAAATGATAGAAATACCCTCCCCAAAGTATCCATTTCTCTTCATATAAGAGTTTCCCATAACTATCACACTTTTCTCATTTTCTTCTGATTTCTTTCTCTTTCTTCACTTTCTTTTTCTTGTCTCTGTTTTCTTGCTAAAGCCCAGAGATGAAGAAGGTATTTAGTTGTTTTTTCCCAAAGGGTTCCCCCAACCGCAACCGGGATCCCAGAACTGACTTTAGCACTGAAAACTGTGTGGGTCGAGGAAGTTTCAACAAGGTTTACAAAGGGAACTTGGCTCCACAGAATCAAGAAGTAGCTATAAAGCGTCTTAACCTGAAAGCGATCAAGGAACCCTGAAATTTGTTACTGAAGTGGAGTTACTGAGTAATGCAGATCACATAAACATTGTCTGTTGATTGGATATTGTGCTGAGAATGAACACAGGATGTTAGTTTATGAGTACCTTACGTTGAGATCTTTGGAAGATCAATTACTAAAACATGCTCCAGATCGTCAACTCGGAGTTATGGATTGGAATACAAGAGTTAGAATAGCATATGAAACAACAAAGGGTTTGTAGTATCTGCATAGTAATATGGAGCCTCGTAGAATATACATGGATCCAAAATGTGCAAACATTTTGTTAGGGGAAGGTTATACTGTAAAGTTATCTGATTTTAGTTGTGCTAAAAAAGCTCCACCTAAAGGACATCGACTTAACTTGACAAGGGTTTTAGGCACACAAGGATATTTAGATCCAAGGTATTTTGCAACAGGTAATTGCACATTCCAAACAAATATTTACAACTTTGGTGTTGTTCTTTACTTCTTAGTAATTTTCTTCAGTTTGTTATACACTATTCTTAAATCTAGTATGAATGTATGAATGTTTAGAATGAGACTATTTGATTTTAATTTTAATAAAAGACAATAAAACCATTATTTTGTCTACAAATTGTGTAAGAATTCTATGATTTAATATATTTTACAAAATAAATTTCTCTAACAAATTAACTATTTTTTTTTACCTATACAAATATAAAATTTATTTTAAAAAATAAAATTGTTTTAAAGTAAAATTAATTTTACAAAACTAGTTAATTCCAAATTAGTTTTCTCATAAACCAAATCAAACACACTTGTGGAAGAGTGAAGTATCACATAGTAGTGTACAATAGCATAAAGCACGTGCGTGGCACGAGCAATCACTTCACTTTCCCGCCAAAAATCTGTTGCGAGCCTAACGAACTAAACGAAAACACAAATCGCAAGCTTCCACCTCCGAACAATGGCACCGTAACTTTTTCTTCTTCAATCGCTCTCTCTGTTCTTCGAAATGCAGCAACGATCTTCAACCTCAAACTCGCGATGTTCCATCGAAGATCACAGAGCCATCAACATCGGCGCTGAACAGCAACAAAGCACAAAACGGAGAAGGACCGCCGACGATGATTCGCTCGACGTACTTCCGGTTTATCACGTACGCACCGTCACCGGAAGGAGAGATGTTTCTCGGCCACGATCGCCGCCGGCGGATAAGATGATTCACGCTATTCCCTTGCTTGTATTGCTATGTCTCTTCACTCTATGGTGGTTCTCTTTTCCAGGTACGTGTTTTCACGCGCCTTCGTTGATCTCATATTTCACGCGCTTTTTCTTTTGTTATTATCGTAATTTCGTTCTTCATGCTGTCTATTTAGCGACATTCTTGAGTTCAAAATTTCGGATTAGTGTTATGAATTTTAGATTCGTGATCGTAAAAATAGAAAAGGAAAATTGAAGTTTAGTAATCAACGATTAAGTAAAAATGTGTAACTAAATATTAGTAATGTCAACAAGCGTTCTTAGGATTTGAAATTTTGAATATAGTTTGGTTCAATTTTGTTGATAAAATGATCTTTTGATATTTTGAAAACAGTAGATCTGGAGGTCAAGGATGGTAGGATTACGACCATACGACAAATGGATATACCGATTTCAAACGATCATACTCGATTTGATCTTACGATACTCACTGTTGCTGCATCGCCACCAATTGCTTCAATTCATCAAGATCTTTCAGGTGAGGATGAAATGTACTTGCCTCCGTCGAATTCGCCAACTGAAGAGCCTTTTTCTTTGGTAAAGGAAAAAAACGATTGAAGAGTTTTTTGTGTCATGTCTCTTCTTGGATGCTCATTAGATGACATAGGATAGAGATTTCATCTGAATTTGTGCTTAGTTAAAATGAAACTATGCGAATTTTCATTTCATTGGGGAAGAATTATGAACTTCTTACATTGAATGCATTCCAAAAAAACTATGCAATTTAGTCTCCTTTTTTGAGTTTACAATTACATATAGGGAAGGGAAGGGGTGAGGTTAAGAACTATAGCTTGTGACATTATGAACATTGACAATTGTTCAATTTCAATGTGTTCTGTGGACTTTTTCTCATCCAAATATAGCTAAGAAAAATTAGATTTAAAAACTACATAGTTGGAATTTGGAAGCTCAACTTTCACCTTGAGGGATCAACTCACTAACCTCTCCCTTTCGACAGTTGCCAACCCATATGTACATAGTTGATCCCTTGCGCGAGTAACGTGACACTCTACAACAATCCCTCCTTGGTGACTGCAAAAACATGTTTATAATTTAGTCACTATAATGATTCATATCAGATGTTGATAAAGTAGGTTGGTTGATAGATATCTCAATTATATGTTGTGTTAAGTATTATTGAATCCATGTATGATATCCAACACGATACCAATACTTGTGCTTATATTCAGTTATTCTATTTTCTTCAATTGTTATCAATGTATTAGTTAGTTATCGTGTGCGGTATAGTTAGTTTGTGTTTGTGTTTTAATGGTGTAGTAATTTGAGTTTCAAAGCATCCTTACCCTTTGCCAACGAAGTGGATCTGGTCTTTTTGAAACTATAATGGATTCAATATCCTCTGGTGTGTCCATTTTCCACCGGCAAGTAGGAGGTTTAGATTTGTAACGATAGTAAGTACCAATAATTTTCTTCTTTAATGGATCATATCGAGTTCTGTTCATATAGAAAAGGAACGCTTTCTGACAAGGGTGTTTAGTTACAGGCCTTGTGTTGAATGCATATGCAGTGTAATCAGCTCTTCTATACCAATTAAGAAAGGTTCTTGTTGGCATCTCTAACTCTCTAGGGGACAGCACTCCCCTTAAAATTTGAACCACATAACCCCATGAAACAGAGATGGACCAATATCTTTTGTGCTCATAGCAAATTGATTGTTGCATTACGCTACCTGAGTCCTGCTTTGCAGATTTCATTAAGTGCTGCAAAGATTGGTCTCTGCCCATCTTTGGAAATATCGGCTGCACTACATCGAGGTGGTGCAATGACACTAGTGGTGCCACTGGATGTGCTCCTAGAAGGCCTAGTAGATCCCCATACACATCATACTGCACAAACAAGAAAGATATACATAGGCGAATTTAAATTCCTTCCGTAAATAGAGAATCAAAGTCAAAAGTCATCCCTAGTAATTGATATTAGTAGAGATTTTCTCCAATTTTTTTTTATAGAATAAACATCAATATTATGAGTTTTGGTGTAAGAAATAAAAGTCTAATTGTGCCAACATTTCTCAAAGAGAATGCTATATCAAATCATGTATTTGGTGGCATAAATCGAAGTTGGGTAAACGATAATGCAGTTGAAAATTATAACAAGGATTTGTGCAATGAAAAATCACAATTTTTTTATAAAAATGTGTACTTTACACCATCCTAAACTATACTATACTAATAGGGTTCTCTCAATTTATTTATGTGAAATAGGTATGATCCCTTCTTAAAGGACTTATTACTTAGGAGTGTTAATAGAGAGTTATTGACTTATTAGGAGTGTTATTTAATTACCTGGTGAAACCCTGCTTCCTTGGTTAATGGAACGCCTAGCTCAGCCATGCAAGCTTGCATTCTATCATCACTACCATACAAAGCAGGGTAATGTTGAATACAACTATCCTGCATCCTTGCAAGCTCCTTAGCCAAAGGGTAACTTATAGCAAATCCTCCACCACCATAAGCCATACCATAAGAGAAATGTATATTCTGAACATGACTCTCCGAGGAGCTTCCAACATAATAAAATTGATTATGATCATACTTAGAAAGAACTCTAACCACATTATCAACAATAAAAACAGTGTCATCATCTCCCATCATGAACCATCTCACATCTTTCAACCCAAGTTTCAATGTCTCTGTCACCACCCTTGATATCCTTAAAGCAGATCTCTGCCCCTGACGATTTGTATACTTAAATTTTGATGTGTTGCTGGAAATTCGAATCTCTGGTAATTCATCATCAGGTTGTATGTCCACTTTTTGATCCAGCCACACTACCCCTCTTGTTTCATTAGGCCTCCACCAAACCTTGATGTAGTCTTTTCTTATCTCCCACAAATTTGTTGAAGCTGCTATTCCGAAAACAATGTGTTTAGTCTCCGTGTCTTGTCTTTGAGATAACTCATCAACGGACAACTCTTCCTCCTCTTGTTCTTCTTCCTCGATTCTTTTTTTGACCATTTTTCTCTCGCGGGAAACTTTACTTGCACTGATTGGTGTACTTATTGATATATTACCAGTACCAAGCATCTCAAATTGTTCATTAGTGGCTGCATTCAAACGAACGGCAGTAGGACAACCTCGTTTTTCAGTGGTTAATAAAAGAAGATTGGAAGAGTAAAGGATGTACAATATTATCATAATTAGGATTAACCAAGTGATAATGCGTTGCTTGAATGAAGAGACCATTTGGTTTGTTCTAGTTAAAGTGAGGTAATTTGTTTCCCCCCTCAGATTCTTCAATTCTCTTTCAGATTGTTGCGTTACTATTTTTGCTTCCAAGTGTTGGAATGGAGAAAGACGGTGTTCGGAAGGACGTTCAATCTCAGCTTTGTTCGGATCACACTAAACATTTTATTTTTGTTCTTCTGTGTAAAGTTTGTTATTTTGTTAAAAAAAAGAGAGTGAAATTTGTTATGTGACAAGGCGAAATTGAATGCGGTTAAAATGGAAGCAACGTTGAAAATTTACATATGGACATTCCGTTTTGCATGCAATTTTGAAGTTGTTTTAGAAATAAAATTAAAGGTATTTAATAATTATTGTTTATTATTATTTTTGGTTACAATTATTGTTTAGTAAAGAATTGATTATATATAAATGAATTGATATTACAATTTCCCTTCAAGGCGAATTTTGATTTACCTGTAACAATTATTATTTTTTGGATATTTTTCTTAAAAATGTTAAAATTCTATATTTTTTGTCCATAGTAATAATTATTTCCTCTAGAATTTTTTTAATTTATTTCAAATTTAGTGTTTTATTTATACGTTTATGAGAGTAAACCAAAAAAATAATAATTACAGGGGTAATCCATTTTTTTTATTGAGGGTAAATTAAAGTTTGCCTATATTGCAGGGATAAAGTGGTATTGACCCATATTTTTATAATAAAGAGCATGTGTATATGAATAAATTCATAAACTATAATTGTTCTTGATTGGGCTGATACTTGTCCTGCTGTTGGAGAAGTTCCAGTCCAGCGCCTTTATTGTGGCCCAATAGCTTTAGGCCCAAGACTGATAGCCGTTGGGGATTTCTCCCACGTAAACCCATTAGAGAACGTGTCCCTAGTCATCATCAACCACCACTTGCCCTCCGAGAATAACGAGTCCACAATCCCTACATTCTCGGGGCACTTCATCAGGGAGGGGGCCACGTGCTGGATCCCATTACTCGTGTAAACCCTAGCAGTCCATGTTATTGGGCCTAAATCGCTTGGTCCATTAGATGGATCTTGGCCCAGCGCTGGGGCTATAAATACCCTCTCACTTGAGAGGGTCAAATATCCATTCATTCATCCATACTTTCACATTCTACTTGCACTTACTCTGAACCTTACTTTGGCATCAGAATGTCTTGCAGGTACCCCCCACTTCACATTCAACTGCTGCCCGACTTGAAGCTTGTGGGCCTTGACGATCTCTTTTGATCAGATAGTGGCACCGTTTGTGGGAACCCAACTTTCCCATATTTCATTCACGTAAGACCAAAGCAACATCTTCAACCTTCCGGTTGTCATGGCCAACCAAGATATCAACAATGACCAGAACGTTCACTTCGTTGACGCAGGCAACAAAAACAACGTTGCCGCCCCGAGCAAGACCCCCAGGATGGGTTGACCACATCTTCCTCCACCGACTCACAACCACGCGACGACACTCACCATCCTTGGCAGAATTACGAGTCGGCAGCGTATCAGAAGATCCCTGTTCTCGAAAACACTGACGCCACGACCAGAGCCTTGTTCGCGGCGATCAACCAGACGAACGACATGATCTTCGCGCAGGTTGAGCGTCTGATGATGCTGGAACGGACTCGCCGGTCCCCCAAAAAGCACCGAAGACTTGATTCTCGAACTCTTCCTCCCCGGAATAAGGATCGCTCACGATCTCCCCCATAGAGAAAAAGACGGGACGAGTCTTGGAGCCCTACTCCCTGCCACACTGGGCGAGGTTCCGCTTTGGAGAGGACCCAACTCAAAGCTTTTAAGAAATACAGTCACACCTCCCCGCGCAAAGAGCGACGATCCCATGAACATAAAAGAAACATGGGCGAGTGTTGTACCCTAAAATTTTCCCTCCCATTTTCACTCAAGACATGCTTCTAGAAGTCCTTAATTGCCTAAGGTTGACCAAGAATTGATCAGACAAACTCTCCTCCTAAGCAATGAACCTCTAATTAGAGTTTCAGTTTTCATCAAGATGTGTAAGCTCCAAAGGTCACAAATGTTTTCCATGGTCCTAATATGCCTTCAAGATTGTCCATGACAAATTTCATGCATTCCACTACAAGTTTGCTCAGTCAATTGCTCAAATGCTTGAAAATCAACTGTACTAGGTCAAAAGTCAATTGTGGCCTATATATAGTCAAACTTTAATATTTTTGGTCAACATCAACATTTTAAGTGATATTCATCATTTAATCAAGGGTTGATCATGATTCCTCATGGAAAGTCCTCAGGTCATCAAAAGTCAAGATTTGCTAAATTAGGATTTCCTAGGAAAAGTCAATTGAACTTTGACCAAGCATAACTTTC